CTAGAACAGTCAGAACACATAGCATAAATTACAGAAAAGCTTTGCAGTGAAAGTCTTATTTCTACACTCGGATCATCTCTTCCTTCTGCGGAAAAAAAAAGTTCACCTCCTTGCACAGGACCCACCAGAATATTTAACAAAACATGAAGCACAGAGTGAAAGCAGGATGAGATATTAACAACTGGGAAACACTGCAGGGAGGCTCAGCGGCCTGCACAAACTGGCAACTCAAGGCCCTGAGGTTTTCTTAAAGAACTCCAGGTGATCGGGAGCTGACAGAACCACCTGCTGAAAAGACAGTATTATTTTGGGGAATTACAAATTTTTACACGTCTGTCATCTACTTTTCAATAACTCTACAGCTGCGTTGTCACATACTCTGTCCCTTCATGGAGAACACAAGGGTACTGAAAAGGTAAACAGAGCTCAGGTGAGAGACAGGAAACAAGAGAATCCAGATATCATCACAATTTTCAAACACTGAGAACCAAAGCTACTGTACAGCAATTATTATGAATGCTCCCCTCAAAAGACACTCACACAAACACATACTAATGTTATAAGATGACAAAGAGCCCAATCTCTGAAGAACAAGAATAGCATGTCCTTGTGTTTGCTGACTGAACAAGAGGTTAAGATTCATATTTTCTAGTAAGTTCACTGAAGTGCAGGGAATTTAGCTGTTAATGCTCGTGCATCCTAGAAAACAGAGTCTTACATACCAACTCTCTAGATGCTCCATTCCAAAATTTTCTCACATGTGCAGCCTTTGGAAGGCGCACACGCATGACTACCTGAACCCTGAACACTGGCATCCTCTAGGCTGCAGGACTGGCCTCTGTGACACAGCATCAACCCTTTGCCTCCCACATGTAGTGAGGGGACAAAAGGCGGCTACACTGCACTTCGGATGCGAACATTTTACTGAAGAGCCAGCAGCTGTAGAACAGATAGGCTGTGGGGTGAACAGCGCTGTCAAGGTCATCTCTAATCAATCCTGGTATGATAGTGTCACAGCAAACTTTGATCCAGTGCCACATTCAAAAGTCTCCTCCACTGCAGTGGGCCAGGTTACATATTTTAAAGCCATCAAAAACCCTAACTTCCAGTCCTACAATATATTAATGATAAAAATGTTGCATTTATTGAGCAACTACAATATCTTAAGGGATCTGCAAAAAGCTTTCGGCACACTAGCTCATTTATTCCTCATGCCTCTCCTAAGCAGGTATTGCTTCAAACAGGTTATAGCCAAGGAACGTTACAATCAATTAATCACATGCTCAATACTGCCCAAATGGTATGTTGCTGAGCCAGGGTCAGAACGCAGGTCAATGTACCTAACACTAAATTCCTGACAACTACATTTTTGTTCATGTGCCTACAGTCTTCTTGTTATTCTGGCTGTTAATCCTCAATTACATGAATGATCTGAGTCCTGCTGGGCAGTAGGGAGAGGAGACAATGGAAACATCCTATTCAATTCAGACAACCTGGATCTCCTTCTCCTGGCAAAGCCCCATGTCTCAGACAAGACTGCTTCCCTTTGGGCCCTTACAGCTGGCTCTTTCATTTATTAAAACTGACTTAAGTAATACTAACACAGAGCCTACTTCACATGGGCAAAGCAGATATAGCACTGAAGAAAACATACATCTGACGCACATGGACCATAACTTCTTTGGGTGTCAGCAATAAATAAATGAAATATAATGTCAAGCTCCCTGGGTGGCACAAGTAGTTAAGTGTGTGACTACAAGCCAAAAGGCTGGTGATTCAAAGCCACCCAGAGGTTCCCCAAAAGACAAGCCTAGCAATCTGCTCTGAGAGCTCACAGCCTTGACAACCCTATGGAGCAGTTCTGCTCTGCGTAGACGGGGTCCCTGTGAGTCGGAACAGACTCCACAGCAACTAACGACCTACTGTCACACGGTGGTGCAGCACACTCGGG